AGCCGATCTCAGTGGTTCAGAGGCTGGCAGGCAAGGACTTGGGGTGTACTTTCACAGCTCCCAGTAAGAGCAAGCTGCCCCCAACTGCTGCTCCACTCAACCAGTCAGCCATTCATTCAGGCAGCCTCCGTGGCCATCTCATGCACCTGCCCCGAGGTAGGGCTGGAGACACAGCACAGCTCACCTCTGAGGGGGGCAGGGATGCATGCTCCAGAGATGGCCTACGCCGTTGCTGGAGGGCAATGGCTGGAGCCGGGCTGGTTAGAGAAGTGCCGCTAGGAGGTGGCCGGGGAGATGGGCCTTGGAGGATGGATGGACTAAAGGAGCACAGCCTGGCGCTAAGCCCACAGTGCAGTGCCTGCCAGACAAGCATGTGCTAGAGGTGGGCAGGGGGTGCGGAGCACAAGAAGCTGTGGGTGGAGGACAAGAGTGCCAGGTCAGGATGTGGTTCTGTAGGAGGTTTCAGGTCAAGGGAGTGGACCCCTTAGATAAGCTAGGGGAGCCTCTTCTGTGAAGGGCTGATGTGAGCCTCAAAGCTATGACAAAGGAGAGCACATTAGTGTTAGAAATGTTCCCAGTGATTATGCTGCTGCTGGGTTGTTGTTATGACATTAACCCTGTGGCCTTGAGTCAGTCACCGTCCTTTGAGGACCTAAGTTTCCCCTAAAATGAGGTGATGAGACAAGATCGGTGTTCTTAACTTTCACTGGTCCTGGATCTCTGAGAATTTGATGACAGCAATGAACCTGCATCATAGACAAATGCTTCCATGTACAAAATCTACAGGCTGCTCCAGGAGCTCATGGACCCCCTTAGGTGCATTCAGGGACCCGGCAGGTGAAGTTCTCTGTGCTGGAGGCTCTCTAAGGGTGCTGGCAGCTGCAGGCCACTATGGTTTTGCTTGGAGTTGCCTGAATTTCCCCTGCCTGGATGCCTTCCTCCTTCCTCCGAGCAGCTCCTCCCCCTGCTCTAGGCCCTCCTGCTACCTCTGCAAGACGTTCTACACCCCCACTTTGGTTAGAATGACTCCCCTGTCCCTCCCCTCTGAGAAAATGAACCAGGAAAGTGAAGGCTGCTGAAAGTGAGCCAGAGCCTAAACTGTGACACCCGTGTCCCCCAGGAAAGGCCTCTTCTCCAATAGCAGAGGGACTGTACCAATGTCTCCTAGCTTCTGCAGCCTTGGAGGGCTCAGTACCTCCATCTCGTGTCCAGTCTGGGCTTCCTGGGCTCTCTCATTGCTCCAGCCTGCCTGGGCCCCACTGTAAGCTGCTTAGAGGTTAATTGAACCCATCCCTGAGCCTGTGATTAAAGGCCTCAATCTGGGGCTGCCCAGTAAACCCATTAATAGTGCCTGGCAGGGGTGTAGAGGGAGGAGCAGGCCCAGCAGTGTGATTTCCTTGCTGCAGGCCACTTGACGGGGGCATGGTGGGGGGTGGGGAACAGGACAGGGAGTGAGCCCAGGGGTGTGCATTTAAGGCCCGCTTCCTCAAAGGACTCCTGGGGTCCCTCTCCCCTGGGTGTTGTGCCATGGGCTGCTCTGTCTTCCCATATCCAAAGGAAGAAGTACAAAGTGCTCCTCTTCCCTCAGACAGCCCCCTGCCTCCACTCTGGGCTGTATTAGCTCCTGACCTCAACAATCTAGTGGTGGTCATTAGATTATCATCTGGTGGTCATTACACGTCCCACAGGACTGAGAGAGACAGCCGTACCTCTGCCTCTGAGGTCAAGCTCTTTCTCTCCCTCCCTCCTATTAATGAGCCCTACTCTGGGGGGATCCCTGCCTTGGGCTCTGTGAAAGGTGAAGCTAGCAAAGTCCTTCTCCCACCCTTCCCCATGTGTCAATATGGTCATTGTCATTTTGGAGGGAGGTGAATGGTGTGGGTGTATTCCTCTTGCAGAGAGACACCAGCTCTACTTTGATTAAGGTGAAGGCCTCTTTTCCTGAGGGTGGGCGTGGGTTGGGAGATATGTGGGCCATGGCACAGGCCATTGAGAGTTTAGAGATCTAGCCCCTGACCTGCTGCCTTGCCCTATCTTCCCCCTTCACCAGACTCCCTCCTTTCTTTGAATCAAGGCTGGGATGTGGGGCTGCTTTCAGATGGAGCGGTCTCTTTAAATCTCTCTCACATCCCTGTGTTACTGTCCTGGTGTGTAATCCTGACTGCTGTCATGGCAACCAGGGGCGCAGTGCCACCTGGTGCCACTCCTCAGGGAATGGCTGACTGGTGGCTGCAGCAGTGCCCTGCTGGTGGCCTCATGGGTACAGGGTGTCAGAGGAATGGGGGCGCTTGGCTAGGGTAACTGCCAAATTCCCCTCCTGCCCACCCTTATTCCTGCTGCATGAGTGTGCCTTTCCCTTTCCCTTCCCCAGTTCCAAGGCGCCTGACTTGCCTCCTGGGCATCACCTCCTTGCCCAAGGGGAAGAGCTAATGGGAGATGGGGGAGGGTGCGAAGCTGCTGCTGAGATGTGGGGTCAGAAGGGCTTGGGCACCCTTCCCTGCCCACAATGGTGCCACTCCCCCGCACCCCCACCCCGTGTGGATGGCTGGCTGGCAGGTAGGGGGAGTTATTTGGTTCTTGAGGTATTTGCCTCATGCCCCAGTGGTGCCATTACCTCCTGCTGGAGGACTGAGAGTTGTTTTGGGGGCTTCCTTTGACTAAGAAAATCTTAGTAAAGGAAATAGGGCCTGGAGAGGGGACAGAGGGCAGAGGTCGGAGGGTATGGGGAGATGGTGGCATGGGGTGTATTAGAGCAGGGACTTCCAGAGAAGAGGAGGGCAGGAACAGGGGGGGCCACGACCCCTCCCCGCTTGGGTTTCCTGCAGCTGGCTGCGAGGGGAGGGTCTCTGGGCACTGCGCCGGCCCTGAAGGGGCGTCACGCTTACCGCCCCCTACCCCGTCTCTTGGCCGCCCCCTCCCCACCCCACTGTTACTAAAACGCTGGGGATCTGGGGATCGGGCCAGCCGTAGGACGAGGACTCTCTCTTTCCCACCGCCCTCCTCCCACCCCTGTCACGCCCCCTCCCCACCCGGCAGCGCCCGTCGGGGCTTTGGCCAATCAGCAAGGCGGCCAGGCCGGCTGGGCCTTGCTATTGGCTGCTCCTGCAGCGGCGCCCCCGAGTCCCGCCCTCTCCAGCGCTGCCCCCTCTGGCTGGGAGGGTGCGCGGCGGCGGCGGAGGCTGCTCCGGAAGCCCCGGGGCTGGGGGTCGCCATGGCGGGCAGCCCAGGCAGCGGGGCCTCCTTGGAGGGTGTATCCCTGGGCTCCTCGGAGGAAGCAGAGTTCCGGAGGGAAGGTAGGCAAGGGCGGGCCGAGGAGGCTGAGGGGAAAGCTGGCCCCTCCCCCGGCGGGCTTTGGGGCATCGAGAGGATGCCCTAGGAGCGGGCTCCCGGGAGCCTGAGGGGTCTGGGGGCCCGGCCTGGCAGGACAGCTGGCCTGGGCTGAGGGCACCAACTCCCCTGGGTTAGTCCTCCCCCCATAACTGGCAGACTGGGGATGACTGGGGAGGGTGGATCCCAGCATAGCCTGGCAGAGTGGGAAGGGTCCCTGCCCTGGCCTCTTTCGGAGCCCACTGAGGGCCTTGTAGGTCTGGGCAGGCTTGGATGTTTTTGGAGGAGGCAGGGTGCGTCTGGGAGTCCCTGAACCATCTCTGCCAGCTCCAGTTTCAGTGCCCCTCCTCCCCACCCCCACTCCTTCCTGCAGGAGGGGAGCACTGAGTGCTGAGGGCGCCTGGGAGTGTATCTACCCCCCTCCTCCAGGGCTTGGGTGCTGTTATACAGATGTAGGCGTGGGTGGCAGGGTGGCAGAGTAATAATACCCCCTGCCCATCTCTGCCCCCAGCTGGGCACACTCTGCTTCTCCCTTTCTTCCCCTGGAACCTGATGCCGCCTGGAGCTCCCACCTCTGCCAAGGCAACCCCTACCTCAGATCTTGGTGGCGTTGCTGTGGCCCAGCTTCAGGTGTTCTCATGTCCTTGTTATGTACTGTCCCAGGCTGAGGGTTTGCTGATCCCTGGGATGACTTGGTCTGACCTCTGCCCTTGGGTGCCCACAGCCATCCCAAGCCTCCACGTGCCTGTTTCCCCAGCTCCTGCCAGTGTTCCAGGCCTCAGCTTTGACTTTCTATCATCCATGTTAATTTCTTATATTAAAGTCATTGTCTGTCACAGCTAAACAGCCTATAGACATCATCTAGTCCAACCCACCCATTTTACAGGAGAGAAAGACTGAGGCCTGTGAGGAACAGTGACTTGTGCAACATCACAGCAGATTAGCGGTGTGGCTTGGACTAGATGCTGTGTAGGCCCTGGCCTCCCTTGTGGCTGCTTGCTTGACTCTGTGCCTGTAGTCAGGGACATGCTCCAAGCCCTGCCTCTCTCATCCCTGAGCCCACCAGGTGCAGGTGTCTGAGTCCTGGGGCTTCAGTTTATGCTGAAGTTGCGTGAGGAGACTGTGGTTCTCTGGGTCAGGGTGGAGCTGGAACCTGACACCTGCTTCCCTTTCTCTCCTCCCTCTACCTCAGCGTCCACTTCCTGCTGCCTGGAGCCTCCCACCTGCCCAGGCTGGCATTACCTAGGGTGGAGAGAACAGGCTAAGGAAACTGCCCCCTCCTGCTAAGCCTCCTGGGCATTCAAGGGCCTGGGGCACCTGTGCTGGGCAGGGAGGGGAGTGCTGCAGGGAGGGGCTGTCTTCAGTGGGGCATGGGGGCAGGTGGAGGTGTTGTGGTGTGTTTTGGTCTTCTGAGCCCAGCTGGTGCCTGTGTGTCTCATTGCCGCCCCTTCCCCCCAGCCATGCAGCAAGTCCTGGACAACCTGGGATCCCTCCCCAATGCCACGGGGGCTGCGGAGCTGGACCTGATCTTCCTTCGAGGCATTATGGAAAGTCCCATAGTAAGATCCCTGGCCAAGGTATGTTCCAGGGAGGCGGGTACAGGGGCACTGTGCCTGGGGAGGCATAGTGAGGGACGGGGTCTTAGCCACAGGGGCCCCTGGGAATGGGGCATGTGGCACAAGAGGCCCCTTTGAAGGTGTGTGTGTTAGAACATCGTGCCCAGGTGTGAACCTGAGCAACTGCAGGTAGAGGGGGCTGCCCGCACACCTAGCTGGTGAGTGTATGGATGGATGTTTGGTGACCGCCAGCTTGTGGAGGGTATGACTGGTGGGGGGTGAGCATGCCTGTGCATTGGCATCTCCAGAGTTCCTTCTGCCTATCCCTCTGCCTTTGGGTGTTTTGTGCAGATGTCTCTTTAAGGTCATCTGCCATGTGTCAGGTAGGGGAGAGACTCAGTAAAAGAGATTATAAAGCAATTTGGTAATGGCAGGGATAGAGGCAGATGTAGTAGGTGTTTGGGGAACATAAAGGACAGGCATCAAACCCAACCTGGGATGGGCAGGGAAGGCTTCCTGGAGGAAGGACCACTTGTGCTGCATCGGGAAGCATGAGAAGGGGGAGGGCATCCTGGGCCACAGGAAGAGCCTGAGCAGAAACGCAGAGGTGGGAAAGTCAGAAGTGTACAGGGGACTGAGAGCTGGTGTGAGCTGGAGCCTCGATGCGAGACAAGGAATGTGAGCTGTGGAGATGGAGCCGGTTGAAGAGGGCACTGGGGACTGTACCTGGGGGCTTGGGCATCCTCCTGTGGGTGCAGGGAGCCTTTACGGTTTTAAGCTGGGGGGGGGTGATGGTGGCATATGGGCCTTAGGAACATCCCTTTGGCTACCACCTGGAGGACTATTGGGGAGTCACATCTGGAGTTGGAAAGACTGGTTAGGGGCTGTGTGGTGGTTTGAGTCAGGGACGCTGAGAGCCCCCTGGAGCTGTGGTAAGGGGCTCAAGGTAAATTGGTGGAACTTGGTGTTTGGGGGTGGGGGGTGACAAGGCACCTGGGATTCTGCCCCAGGAAAGTGAGAGGCTGGTGCTTCCTTCAACTGAGAGAGATCAGGAGGGGAAGGAGGGACCCTGTTCTGCTGAGGTGAGGAGAGGTGAGGACAGTGCCCCTGCTGCGTTGGAGGCAGGGCTGGGAGTCGTGGGAAAGCAGGCCTGATTGCTGGGACTTCTCTGTGAAGGTGGGGCTGTCCTCTCCAGGAACTGAGGAGCGAGGGTTGAGCAGGGAGATTCAGAAGTGGAGGTTTGACTAGTCACTGAAGGGGAGAGGGAATGGGATGGCTGGCACCCAGACTGTCCATGTCGGGCACCTGATTTCCAAGGGCAGAGGTGACCAGTCCAGAGATGAAGAAGAGTGTGGCTTTGGCCCAGAGCACGTGCTGGCCTGGGGCTTTTGGTTGCAGGGGAAGTGTGAAGGGAGCTGGTAAGAGCGGCTCTGAGCATCACCTCTGGGCCCAGGCTTGGAGGAGAGAAGGTGGGGAGGAAATGGAGGTGAAGGCCTGGGGGCTCTCTGAGGCCACAGAGTGTTTAGGGAGTGGTGTGGGGGTTTAGATGGAAGGGAAGAAGGCCAGGTCAGAGAAAGGGAGACGGGAGGTGAAAGATTTCAGGGGAGCACAGTTCTGGGGATGACAGGACAATGGAGGCTGTAGCTGTGGTGGACGGGTAGGTGATCAGAGGTCCAGGAGTCGAAGGCCCGGGTGTGGGGTGGATGTGTCTATATGGGTGTTGGGATCTAGGGCTGTGGCAGGCATTGGGATGGGGAGAAGATTAAGACAGTCCCCAGGGTCTTCAGTGAATGGTGGTGAGTGTGACCAGGAAATTGACAATGACAGCAATGTCAGGGAGGGAGAAGGTAGTACACCCGGGTGCTGGGTTTTCCACAGACTGCGGTTGGGGACTGTGTGTCACAGGATGGCTATGGCCAGTTCTGATGCGGGGCGTGGAGGAGAACCAAGTCCCACTGGAGGGAGAGAGCTGCTGCAGGGGATGACATGTCCTAGGGACACAGTCTAGTCTTGTTATCATCTGTGGAATGGTAGAAGACTTGGGGACGTGGTTAATGACAGAAGATAAAATGCCTGCAAGCGTTAATAGTGGGAGGTCCTGGGGAAGAGAAAAGCAGACTGGAGGAGATTGGGGAAAGGCAGGTTACTTTTCATTCAGTGATTGAGAATTATGCTCATTTATTAAAAATAAAAACAAGGTCTTATGCATATTTCAAACATGGAGAATGTAAGCTCCATGAGGGCAGAAATGTTTGTCTGCTCAGTTCATTACTGTGTCTCCAGAGCCTAAAACAGTGGCTGGCACATAGTAGGTCCTCACTGAATAATTGTGGAATGAATAAATATGAGAGTATAGGTGTTGGCTAGCTCAGTGGCTAGGGCGTGGTGCTGATAACACCAAGGTCTCGGGTTCAATCCCTGTACCGGCCAGCCGCCAAAACCAAAACCTAAAATAAAACCCAAAAGAGTGTAGAAAGTAACAGAGTGAACCCCTGAGTACCCATCTCCAAGATGTTAATACTGGCCCTAGCTGCTCTGTCTCTTGCTCTTTCTTTTTAGGAAATAAAAAGCACCATACAGTGAATGCCTCCCCCACGCCTCACGTCCACTGCTCTTCCTCCATACAGGCAACCACTGGTTAGAGACTGATAATGTCATTCCCCCGAATGTTTATCTAAATGTTTGCTTACCATACTACATATGAGTGTAGCCTTAAACAATATACCCTTGTTATATGTGGCTTTAAACTTTATGTAAATGGAGTGATAGTGTAAGTTGCTTCTGTTTTTGAGGTTTCTAGTTCATACAAGTAGCACAGCTATTGCCCTAAGTATAGATATAGATTCAGATAGAGAGATTCACTTTAACTGTTGTGTGGTATTCTAACTTATGAATAGAGTCCAGTTTACTTATTGGTTCCCCTCCTGAAAGACAGGACCGTCGTTGCTGATTTTCCTCTATTAAGGACAGTGCCGCAGTGAACATCCTCACAGCCATCTCCTTTTGAACATGTGTGAGAGTTTCTCTGGGGTGGACACTAGGCAGTGGAATTGCTGAACATGTGCATTTTGAACCTCAGCACTTGTAACCTTCCAAAGCCAATTTCAGAGTTGGATTTATCAGACTGGGTCATCTCTGGGTCACATTAGCTATTGTTTCTGCAGTGAGACAGAGTGATATAAGGAGACGCTCTTGGGATGGCAGAATCTCAGAGTTAGATGGCCCTCTAGCCAGCCTCCTTCAAATCATGATCCCCTTGATAGCATTCCTCTCTGGTGGTTTTGTCCAGGCCACTTAACAGCTGTTCAATGATAGGATTGCTGGTTGGCTGGCTCTGCCATTCATTCATTCATTCATTCATTCATTCATCTATTCAACAAATATCTGTTGAGCACTCACCGTGTACAAGGCACAGTGTTGGGGCTATGGCAATGAACAGCAGGAAGTTTATTCTTCTCCTGATGGAGCCCAAGTCTGTCTTCCTCTCACTGGTCCCCACATTGCCCCAGTCCTGGAACCTCACAGTATAGCCTAATTGAGAAGTTACCAGTGTGCTATGGCAGACGGTAAGTAAACTCTCTTCTCTATAATTGTTTTTGGGGATCAGAATTTCCTCCAAGAAATTTCTGGTATGATTCCAAATGCCTAGAGCACAATAGATGATAGTGTGGACATTTCTTCAACTCTGAGCCCCCAATAAGAGGGTAGTGGGCTAAAGGAATCCGGCGACTTCCTCCCTCAATTGGGTTGTGGAACGAACAGGAAGTGAATCTCCCTAAAGTCCTGCCTGAGCTCATTTGAAAAAAAAAGAAAAAGCCATAAATCCCTCCCATCCCTGCACAGGTGACCCTTTGCAATGTAAATTTGCCACTCCTCTCATCAAAGGATAGAGTCTCTCTCTCCACTCTTCAATCTGGGCTTGACCATGTGACTTGCTTTGGACAACGGGACCTACTTCTTCCTCCTTCTTACCAATTTCAATGCTTATGTATACATAGATAAATATCTAACCTAATAGACAAAGCACTTTGGTCAAAGATCCAGCTACAAAAACTTGGTTGTCCTGGTGAAGTGGCCCAGAAATCCACAAGAATAGAGTTGGATTGGAGCTGCATGGGGTGGCTGCTGACCTCCTTCCCTTCCTCTTGTGGAGCTGAGTTTGACTCTCCTCTCTGGGGAGGTGACAGGCAGTGTGGAAGGGGCTGTGCTGGCTAGATCTGGGACCAGGGAGGGGCAGGGCCTGAGGGGATAAACCCAGAGAGTTAAAGGCTCTGGAGGGAAGTCAGATCTGGCAGGCAGATCATAAATCCAGGGAGTTGGCTTCAGTCAGCAGGTGGCAGCACTGGCAGGTGGCTGGCATCCGGGAGAGCTGACATGGATCCAGCAGCAGGTGTTCCAACAGCAGATAAGGCCAAGGCAGGTGACATTCAGAAATTCAGAAAAATTGTTACCAGTGGGGACATCTGCCAGCTGGGAGGCAGGTGAAGGGAGTGTGTAAATTAATCCACATGAGATGAAGTAGAAAGAATTAAGGGCTTGGAGTCAGAAGATTCACTGACTGGCTGTGTGACTTTAGTATGTTCGCCAACTTCTCTGAGCTTCAGTTATTTCTATTGAGAAGTGGGGAGAATGATAGCTACCTCTCAGCTTCATGGCAGGGCGAGGTGGAGGTCACAGATGTGGAAATGCTTTTCAAACCATAAAGAATTGTTATACTATAGTCTTAGAGTATAGGGACTGGAGTTCACAAGGAGGATCCCAGTCCTGTGGTGAGGTTGGGCTGGCAAAGCAAGACAGGGCCCTAGAAGAGTGAGAGTCCAGGGAGGCCACTAAAACAGAGACTCTGACAAGGGGACCTGATAAACAGTGCTATAGTGGTGGGGAGGAGCCCAGCATATTAGTTAGCTGTTGCTGCATAACAAACCACCCCACTGTGCAGAGGCTGAGAACAACCATGATTTAGTTCTCAGGATTTTATAGGCTGGTTGGTAGTTTTTCTGGTTTGGCCTTGCTCAGTTGGG